CCCCTCCAGCGGGCAGTGCCCCATGCTCCTCACCCCCCTCCAGCGGGCAGTGCCCCATGCTCCTCACCCCCCTCCAGCGGGCAGTGCCCCATGCTCCTCACCCCCCTCCAGCGGGCAGTGCCCCATGCTCCTCACCCCCCTCCAGCGGGCAGTGCCCCATGCTCCTCACCCCCCTCCAGCGGGCAGTGCCCCTGCTCCTCACCCCCCTCCAGTGAACATCTCTCTCAGGAGCAGAGGGTACCGGCTCTGCAATGCTTTACACACGAGGCCGGCAATAATGGCTATTATTCGGCGTGATGGCGTGTGGCTTACAGCGTCTGTGACTTGACAACCCCGTAATGAGCTACTGATGAGGGAAATGGGCCTGATGACAGCCGAGGCTGAGACCATTACACATCAGCCTTTCCTGCTGGGTGTTATCACCCCGACTCTGACGGTGGCTCAGCATTACAGCCCCATTTATTGAGATGTTACTCTGTGCTGAGCGCTTCATATGGATTATTACCTGTGAGCCTCACAGCAACCCTGTGAGACAAATATTATTACTGCTGTGATTTACAGACACGGAGTCTGGGCACCTGGAAACTGCAAACATCGCCAAGTGCTGGAAACGGGAGCTCACAGCGTCCCTGAGCCCTGATGGTGCTCGGAGGAGCGGCACTCCGCGGGCAGAGCCGCAAGCCCCGGGCGGGCGAGGGTTCCCCCGAGGGGGATGCTGCTCCCATGCTCGCCAAGTCCCAGAGAAAGGGCAGGACAATGCCTCCCAGACTTCAATGCACACAGGTCACGGGGGGGCGGGGGGTCAGTTAGAGATGCCGACTGGTTCATCCCCAGGGAATGGCAGTGCGGCTGGTCCCATCACTTTAGGAGTAGCCGGGATCTGGGCAACCATGTAGCAATGGAGCTTGTCGTTGGAGGGCTGACCTGCTTGGAAGGTTTAGGCCTGGGCTCAGCCTGTGGCCACCGAGCTAGCTCACACCCCGAACCAACAAGCTGCTCTTTCAGGAAAGGGCACAGTGGCCTGGACATGAGGCCCCGTGAGGCATACGTCTCTCCTTAGTTCTCCAAGTGGAGTTACAATGCTTCCAACGTAGTAATAAATGACATCCCGTTTTAAAAATGCACATCAAATAGAAGCAAAACCGCAAAGCTAACAAAATTACGTTTTTCACATTCATCTAATATGTGCAATATTGTGGTAAATGAGCGCCCATGACATGAACAGGATATAAGTGGCGATGGCCAAGTTTCTGTTCATCTCGGCGATGCGAGATTGCAGCGGTTACATCCATCTGCACAGCCCACCCTGCAGCGCTCGGCCTCCGCTTGCCCCACGGGCACCCTCTGTTTGTTACGCTCCACTCTCTCATTCTGGCATTAGCCTGCGACAACAGGTGGCAATGTCGTTGCTTTAGTAATGACAAATCAAAATCTGGATTAATCCTAACATCAAAAGCTACAATCTTTCATGAAAATATTTTTCGGTTTCAAAGGGGAATCTTTGCTTTTATTCCTGCCAAAATACTTCTAAATGGATACAAGAACCAGAGATGTGAACGTATGTGTCATTTTGTTGTTGGTTAATTTTTAAAAATTATTTATTTAAAATTATTTAAAAGATCTTTATTTTTTCTTCTACCACAACAATGTATCTTCACTTCCTACTTTCTTTTTATTTTTAAAATATGTTTTATTGATTCTAGAGCCAGAAAGGAAGGGAGAGGAAGAGGGAGAGAAAGAGAGAAACATTGATGACAGAGAGAAACATCAGTCAGCCGCCTTCTGCACACCCCTTACTAGAGATGGTGCCCACATCCTGGGCATGTGCCCTGACTGGGAATCAAACCGGTGACTTCTAGGTGCATGGGGCAATGCTCAACCAACTGAGCCACACTGGCCAGGGCACTTCCTACTTTCAAACATGAGACTGCAGGTGCCGATTTCCGTTCTGCTCCCGTTTCTACGTCCTGAATTGTTACTTTCACGATGTCAAATTTACAACACTTACACTGCGTTCTATAATGGCAATTAGTCTTCTGAGCTTTATCAGTAGGTTGATTCTGAAATCAATAGTGATTTCATGATTCTGATTGTTTAAACGTGGCTCATTGCACAGCCTTTGCATTTTCTGATAACTGTTCTTTCTCATATGACTTTTTGCCTGGAGTTCAATTTTTTTAACTAATTACTTTTGACATATTTTTAATTTTGTTCAACTTCTCTTACAAATTTCGTATTCTGTCGAGCCCTCCTGTTTCCCTGGAGAGTCCCTTCTGAGCCTCACATGCCTGCTAACGTCTTCATTCTACCATCCTATTTATTGATACTTTAGCTATGTGTTGAGCCTCAATCGATTGACTTTCCCTCAAAAAGCCAAAAGCTCTTAATTTCTAGGGTTGCTGATGAGTATAGACTGATGTTGACTTATTGTTTTCATTTTGGATGTTTTTCTCTTTTTTGCTGTTAGGATTTTCCTTTTATCCTTGCTGTTCCGACGTGTTATGGTCATGGGTTACGTGAGGTTTGTGGTGTTTTAATTCATTGTGCTGGACACTGCGTGCACATTTTCAGTCTAAGCATTAAGTCCTTTAGTTCCAGACAATGTCATGATGTCTTTGACGCTTCCCCTGCTATTTGCCTCTGGGTCAGCTGTTGAATGCTCCTGCGTTGACCCTCTGCATTGCTTTCTCACGCTTTCCATCTTGCTGTGTTTCTGTCTACTTCTGAAAAATCTCCCAGGTCTAATTTCCCAACTTTTCTATTGGGCTAATTTCTATTCTAACAAACAGGTCATTAACTGTCTAGGACAGTGATGGTGAACCTTTTGAGCTCGGCGTGTCAGCATTTTGAAAAACCCTAACTTAACTCTGGTGCCGTGTCACATATAGAAATTTTTTGATCTTTGCAACCATAGTAAAACAAAGACTTATATTTTTGATATTTATTTTATATATTTAAATGCCATTTAACAAAGAAAAATCAACCAAAAAAATGAGTTCGCTTGTCACCTCTGACACGCGTGTCATAGGTTCACCATCACTGATATAATGTAACTCCCTTTCTCTCAGTAATGAGCTTGAACAATGTGTATAATTTTAAAAGATTAACCTTTTAATGTGTCTTCAAAGTTTAGAACCATACAGAACTACCAACAAGAAATTAGGACCAGAAATAAAATGTTTAGAAGCTGATAATTAGATTTCTGGTCAACATGGTACAGTGCATTTGCACCTTTATGGGCCTCCTCTGTCCCAAACATGTGCAATTAGAGATGAAATATAAAAGGTGAAAACCAAAAGGTTGTAGTTGGCTCAAAAAACAGATAAACATCTCTGTGGACTAGAAGTAGATTCGAATCACAAAGCAGTGAGTGGGTCTGGGCCAGGAGACCTGCAGGACTCCAGGTCTAGAAGCCAGCACTAACTGCTGGGCATTTTGCTCCTCCAGGCCAAGAGGATCTAACCACCTCACTGCAAATAGGGAGACCTGAGCCAGACTAACTATCTGGAAGCAAGCAAGGGCATTGGGCTCAGGACAAGAGGCTAAAAGCAAAATCACATGCCAAGAGGCACAGCTTTATAAAAAGTTTGAGCCTGTAGAGGAGAAATGGACATGAATCAGAACCAGGCTCTGAAACTAGCCACCCGCTGGCTTTGTAACAATATGCAATCCTTGTTATTGCCATTGGTAAGGGTGTGTGATACAACACAATAAAACCTTGGTTGTGGACTGGCAGTGCTGCAGGCCAGGTGAAAGCAATCAGAAAACCTCTAGAGAGAGAACAGTGAGCCCAGAGGGAGAGAAAACAATACAAACAATAACACAAACTCAATTTGAACACATCCTGCTCAAAATGAGTCAGCAAACCAAAATTCCAAAACACATGAAGACATGTGTTGCTAAAAATGTCAACAAAATCAACAACTTGAATAAAAACTCTACTCCAGCTTAAATTAATTTTATGGAAAGACTAACATTTCAGAAATAATGATTAGAGTGATCAAAGAAATAATTTTCTAGAAAGAGAAAAATTACCAAAATTGACTTAAGAACAAATAAAAAACTTGGAAAATAAGAACACATTAAGAAATTCAATAAAAAATCAGAAAGTATTCTCTTTCCTTCTCACAGACACACAAACTAAGCCACTAGACTCAAAAGGTTTTACACAATTTAAAGGAATATATAATCCTCAAACTAAGCCAACTCATTTATTAAGGTATTACCTTGATACCAAAACAAAACAGGAACAGTAAATTTTAGACCAATATTATTTATAAATAAAACATAAAATCATTAAACACGAGGCAAAACCTTCTCCAATTTCAATAAAGAAATAAAATTAGAAAACAGACAATAAAGGTAAAAAGGGGGCTATGATTCCAAAGTCAATTATCTAATGTATCATCATAAAGTAAATTCATCATTCTTCAAAAAGCAAACAAAACCAAACAATATCTTACGTTTGGCCCAAAATGTGAAATCTATGTTAGTGATTCTCTATGAAAAAATAAGATCCACAACAATTCTGATTATACAGATGGAGGTTCTGTAGGCTCATTTATGTGAACATGGCATTTTCAGCTTGCTGCCTAAAGGTTAAAAAATTATGTTCAGCAGAAAATGAGCACACTCATTCCTTTACTCCTGCTTCACTACCCATGTCTATAAAGCCTAGTAGGACTGTACCTAGCACCTAAGTTTATTTATTTTTACTTTATATATATGCTATTGCACTGTCGGTGAAATACTTGACAATCTTAAAAACCAAGACAACAATAATAAATTAGAAGTGTAGGGCTGTGTTGCATTCTGCCTCTGCACCAGACAGGTGCCCTGGAGTAGTAAGTGCCTGCCCTGCCCACAGGCTCCTCCTTAGGAGGAAAGCAGCCTCAGGGATTCTTTCTGCATAGAATTGGTGAGGCTCATTACTTGTATGTCAAGAGAAACCAGCTCTGCTACCATGGTTACAAATAATTATACCAAAATCAGCTCCTAAGCCAAAGTAACATCGATAATCAGACATGAGAGAAGTTTACCTTTTACCTGGCTTGGCTCCAAAACCTCAAGAGGTGTGAGTTGCATTGGATGACGATAAGCTTGGGATACACAGAGCAGGCCACAGGGAAGGGAGGGTCTCTATACCCTCTGGAGTTCATCTTGGTTCTTCTTTAAGCCTAGTCTATAAGGCAGTCTTTAAAGTACAGGGACTGGTAATTACTACAAGCCTATAAAGAAGATTATGTACCTGCCACCCACATGCCCTTGTATGCTTACATTGCATCACCATATCCCAGGTTACCCGGGACCGTATCCCATCCCCCACCATACTCTCTCTTCTCTCTCTCTCTCTCCCAGAATTTCCAAAATATTTTATCCATGCATTCAGTAAGATTTATCAAACATCTATGTGCCAGATACCACTCTGTGTATGTGTTGGGGGTAGAGCAATGATCTTGATGGCCAAGGCCTCTGTTCTTCTGAACTTACATTCTGATTGGAGAACAGGGAATGACCAAGTGAAAAAAGATGACTCCAAGCACATATAAAATAAAAAATACAAATTAAATTAATTCACTTTCAAAAAGGTGACAGAATGGAGAGAAAAAGTCCTCTTCAAGAAAGTAAAGTTTGGTTTGAAACCTGACTGCTAATAGCTGCATTTGAAGGTCTGGGAAAGAGAGCTCAAGCCAAAGGGAACAGCTGGTGCAAAGGCCCAGAGGTCAGAATTAAACAGAGTGCTTAAGCCTTTCTTTACAACAACCTATACGTATTAAGCAGAATAGTGAATCAGAAAGACTCATTTAGGAAGTTCCAGAAATATACTGGTTTAATTTAAATTTAGGAATCATAGATGGGAGTGCTAATTTAAGAGACTAAAAAAATTACTAAATGCTCATAAACAGATCCATCTGGGAATGTTGATAATAATTCCTTTTCAAGTAGTAAAATGCATCAAATTAAATTTTGTCCAAGAAAAAGTCAATATAGCAAACTAAGATGTGTTTTTAAAAAATTACTAGAGGCCTGGTGCACAAATTCGTGCACAGGTGGGGTCCAGCTGGCTGGGAGGAGGGGCCACGGGAAGTTGGCCGGCCAGCTCTGCCCCCAATTGGGGGCGGGGCCAGCCAGGGGGAGGGGTCATGGGAGGTTGGCCAGCCACAGTGCGTGTCATAGCGAGCGGTCGTTCCGGTCATTCCAGTTGCTTGGCTTTTATATATATAGATTTTTCTAATAATAGAAAGTCATCAAATGATTTTGTTTTGGAAATGAAAGTAATACAAAGATGTAATTGTCATGGAAGTTCTGTAGAAAAGAACATAGGGGGAAGGATCATTTTTTGAAAAAAGCCTACCTATTAGGAAAAATTGGGGAGGGGATGAGCACTGAAGATAAAATCAGAGGAGGAAGTGGACAACCAGGAGATGGAAACAGATAACATCTTTTTACAAAGTCAATTGGAAAGCCAACATCATGGAAAGCAGCCCTGATGAGGGCCTCTGTGGCACAGGTAGTGTCACCTGGTCAACATGCACCCAGGACTCTTAAGTGCATGAAATGAGCAGCCACTGCTCAAGGCATCACCTGGAAGTCACTTTGGATGACTACAATTCACAGGTCACCAGTGATGGGCTGGTAAACTCAGGGAATATCCGGATGGAGACCTTCCTTAACATGAGGTCACAGTTTAGGAGCATATTATGGACATCAGTGGAGGAAGAATTGCTACAGGCAGGTAGGATGGAATGGGGATGAGTAAACAAGATAATGAGGAGGTTGCTTTTTGTGTTTTCTCAAAAACTGAATATAGTACCATTCTGACAGATTATCTTACAGGAACGGACAATAAGCTCCTCCCATTGCAAATCTAACTTGAAAGAGGTGCTAAATTGGATATAAGTGCAAAAAATAACCATGCTGCTGGGTACTCTTTCATCTTGAGAAAAAAAACATGCTCAAGCAAATCATTTCTAGAAAGGAGCATTCTGATTAAATCAATTTCCTGGTTGGATACATTAGGTTTTTAAAATATAGTTGTCAATCTTTCTTACAGATATCAGCTAAGATCAATGGAACTGAGCAGAGAGCTCTAAAGCAGATCTGGGTATAGGTGCACAAAATAATTAAGTGTATTATTTAAAAATGCTTCAGAACAATTGATAAAAATTCAAAATGAGATAAACCTAAATTTAAATATTTTTTTCCAACATCCTCATGGAACTCCCCATATCCACTTTGGAGACGTCTGTTCTTTCTGCCAATACTGATCTTTGCTGGGCTGCAGCCATGACCTCCAAGAGGGCAGGGCCCCTGGCTGCCTTGCTCATCATCCAATCTCCAGTGCCTTAGAGTCCTCAAGGCACTGCCTAGGGAGCTGACACTGGACACGGGAGATATAAGCTTCTCCTTTAGCTTTAAGCAATCTATTCTGTAACCTCTGGGGGGCACTGAAAAGAGCTTCTCCACCCTGTGAGAGGATGACAAGCACTGGGGCATAAAGTGAGTCTCTTAGCCTAAAACAACTGCTGAAAGTGAAGGACAATATTTTTAATATTCTCTAGGAAATGCAATCTAATAAAAAGAGGAATTTGCCCAGCTGGCGTGGCTCAGTGGTTTAGCATTGACCCATGAACCAGGAGGTCATAGCTCCGATTCTCCATCAGGGCACAAGCCTGGTTGCAGGATCACCCCTGGGTGGGCAGTAAGCAGCCAATCAATGATTCTCTCTCATCATTGATGTTTCTATCTCTCTCTCTCTCCATTCCTCTATGAAATCCATAAAATATATATTTTTTTAAAAAAAGAAGAATTCAAGGTATTTCCACACTATTTATGCCCATGGACAAACTTTTAAAGTTGAAGAGTAAATATGCAAACAGTATAGCCTTTTAGAAATACAACTGTATAAGAAGAGTATACTGGAAAGCTGCTCAAATGTTCTAAAACAATAAGCAGCTTGACATTTTTCAAACAAATATTTTAAAGCTCAGTTCCACATGTGCACTGGAAATTAATGTCATTTGTTCAGCAGTAATAGACCTCATTCATATTCACTCTCGTACATTGAATTATATATTTGCTGATTTCATTAAACCTTCAAAAGGTTGCAGCTCGTTGACATATGAAAAATTCCACATCCCTAAAAGAGGAAATTTTGTACCAGTTAAAAAAAAAATTTTTTTTTATAAAACCACTCCTCAGAAAAAAAATGGTAAAGCGTGGGTCTCCGAGGAAATTTTGTACCAGTTAAAAAAAAAATTTTTTTTAAACGGTAAAGCATGGGTCTCTGTTCCTTACTATCACTAATTACATATCCAAGCTTTTATTACCTAAGGATATATTAACAAAGAAACAGAGCAGGTGGTCATGAACAAACTTGAGAACATGACGGACAACACTGGGGACTCCGACAACTGCCTGGAGGGGATTTTGTAGGGACGCCTAGAAACCTAGGCTTGTCACTCAAAGGCCAGCATGAAAGTTAATGAGACCACCTTTGCACTTTTGCTGGTGGACCAGGGGACATTTTTGTCATAGACAGGATTCTGAGATTCTGCACTAAGCAATGTCAATTGTCTTCCTTTCTTTTCTTTCCAGAACATTAAAAAAAATATATCCTCAAAAGGAATTCTACCAGGACTAACATAACAGTAGGGCTATGAAATTCCAGGGAAATTGAAGCCAGCCTTTTAATATGCCTTATAAAGCTATTTGAATCAGGAAAAACTTCTTGACCATGCCAGAAACATGTTATGATCAATGTGGGTTAAATTAGGGCTCCCATAATTGTGACAGTAATTTCTACAATGAGATCTTTAACAGCTACTAATGTACAAAACCTTCCAGCCTAAAAGGTTTAGTGACACAAATAACTATTACATTGTCAAATCCTGAGTGACAATGAAAATCCTACAATTAACCCCATTATGCATTAAAGGCTACAGCTACCATGCCTAGATCCGTTTCTAAAAAACTTCAACAACCCTTCTCACAAGTGGTTGTGTTGTAGCTCTAAATGACCTTCATGTCTTTATTTCCTTGTTTGCAAAAGAAGGCTTCTTCAGATTTCTAGTTTATTCAATAGTTTCTTTTTAACTTATACAAACCAAGATGTCCGGACTAGTATTTTTTTAGTTATACAAGTTACTTAGCTTTCTTGTGTCTTGTTTTCTTATCTATAAAAGAGAATAATAATAATGGTGTAAATTATGTGGGACAAGGCCTGGCCCATGGTAGTCAATTATAAATTATTTGTATTTTTTATTATTTCAGTGGTTTATATATTATGAAAATAAGCCCCACCATGGCCCTGGCTGGTTTTGCTCAGTAGTCAGAATGTCAGTCTGTGGACCAAAGGGTCGTTGGGTTCAATTCCCGGTCAAGGTTATGTACCTCAGTTGCAGGTTCTCCAGCCCCAGTAGGGGTGCATGTGGGAGGCAACCAATGGATGTGTCTCTTTCATGTGAATGTTTTTGTCTCTCTCTCTCTACCCCTCTTACCTCCTTTTCTACTTTCTCTAGAAATCAATGGAAAAAATATCCTTGGGTGAGGATTAAAAAAAAAGAAGAAGTCTCACCATGATATAGGGCAGTGATGGCGAACCTTTTGAGCTTGGCGTGTCAGCATTTTGAAAAACCCTAACTTAACTCTGGTGCCATGTCCCATATAGAAATTTTTTGATATTTGCAACCATAGTAAAACAAAGACTTATATTTTTGATATTTATTTTATATATTTAAATGCCATTTGACAAAGAAAAATCAACTAAAAAAATGAGTTCGCGTGTCACCTCTGACACGCGTGTCATAGGTTCACCATCACTGATATAGGGGAACCTTTCAGATTCTTGATAATTTACTGTGCAGTTGTTCAACTCTCCTATTTAAAATTCCAGCCTGAGAGGATCTCTTATTTACTCTGAAGTGAAGTGGGATTCCCAAAGGAAGAGGATTTGGGTAGACCTGGAAGGCTAGCCGGTAACTCCAGCTGTCTATCATTTAAACCACTGGATTTAAATGGGTTCAGGCAAATATCAAAAAATTTCTATATGTGACACAGCACCACTGGATTTTAAATGGGTCCAGTGGAGCCTTCCAGATAAAGCCAGATGTCCAATAAGTAATGTGCCTAAAGTCGTCTCAGCTAGAGTTCAACCAGGTTAGATAGAAGTACATCACCAGTTCCCAGTGCTGACATTAAAAGAGTCATATCCAAAAGTCACTTTCTGAAGCAGAGGCAAAGTGCCCAAAAACAGAAAAACAAAACACAAGAGGCACTAGGTTTGTGTTTCCCTAAATGTCGTCCTCAGACCACCAGCATCTGTGACATCTGTGCGAATGCAGACTCCTGGATCCCACTCCAGATCTACTGGATCTGAATCTGAGCATGGGTCCTAGGAGTCTACGTTTTTATGAAGCACCCAGATGTTCTATGCATGCTGAATTCTGAGACCCACTCCAGGAAATTCAACTCGGCTTGTGGGACTGAGCCACAAATCTGTGCTGCTGGTCATGGGTCTTTTGTGTCAGCTAGATCTCTGGTTGACCTCTGGCTTACCTCTCTTACACCCACGGGTCCCTTTTATTTGCTTCATCCCTGCACCCCACCCCAACCTCAAGCAGAAAGTCCAGTTCTACAAATCGTACTAGGACCAAAGGAGGCAGCTGGGCAGAGCTGGCCAGCCTGAGAACTTGGCTCCAAGAACACTGCCTTTGTCGGATCCCTTCCTTAACATGGCTCTGGCAAGATGATTAAATTTCCATTAAAAAAACAAACAAACAACCAAAGAGGTTTAGGCTAAGACAGTAGGTTTGCCAAATACCAACACAGTCCCTGCCTTATAGAGATGAAAGAAGAGAATAGCATATAGAAAATGTACCAAATAATTGCTTTTCATGGTTTACCTGTGAAATAAAGTTAGGCAGTATTCAAAGGCCACTGCTATTTTAGATTCAGCTAACAAGAAGAGCCGAACTGTTTCTCTAAATTATAAATCAGTATATACTCTCCTCAGTCAGACATTGCACAATATGTTACTCTTCTCCAGAGAGAAGAAAAAATAGAAAGGATAGGATTATAAACCATTCTAGCACATATATCACCATTAAAGAGATTCGATATTTCAATAGTAGCTTGAATGACCAAACATCTTTCTTTTTCAATGTTACCTTCTTTAGCCTCTCCCTTTATCAGTTCAGTTTGCATGCATTTTTATACTGAAAAATAAAAAAATTATTATATTTGATGTACAGGTTTGAGAAAGGGACATGATGCACGCGTGCTTACCCTACCTCTGTGAGGGTGCAGAATAGCACTACAAACTTTCACTCAAATAGTTTTAGAGTCTGTGTTCTCAGTTTTGCTCATGACATCCTGAGTAGGGAAAGGAAAACGCTACCTCTGGCAGGAGTGAAATAGGGTACCTGGAGTGGCTTAGAAAATTCTCCAGGGTCCTCAGCTGGGAAGTCCCCAGACCTGAGCCATCTCAATTGCTCCATCTTCTGAACCCCATCCTGATGCTCAGTAACAACTCACTACAATAGCAACCGTTTCGTCCAGTGTTAAGATATACTGCCTTGCTTTGGACAGGAGCCTACAAAGAAAGAGCTCTATACAGTGTGTGAACTGGAGCAAAATATGAGCAGCTGAAAGTCTGAAATTGATTTACATGCAAGCCAGCCAGGACAAAGATTAAAGAAATGAGGGACCCAAGCAACTTCAGCTGAGCTCTGGAATGCAAATAAAGTGTACAAATGAGAATGATACCAAGGTTATAATCGTAAGAGTGCAAGGCCAGTACAAGTTCAGGCAATCACAGCTGCTTGTTAAAAGCAGTTCTCCCCTACCCCACTGATGTACTTCCTGATTTCAAAGTTATATAACCCTGTCAGCTGCAGTAGCAGCAGCACCACCACCACCACAATCCATTACCCACATTCCATCCAGCCAATTACCAAGCACCAGCCATTCTTCTAGGGAGAGCAATTTTATAAGTCCTTGTGTTTTCATTAATGTGTATTTCTCAGCTTTTCTAGGCCAGGGAAACACTAGGTGATAACAAGCTCTTACTTTTGTACAAAAGGGGAAAAGTATACCAGCTTATTATAAGGAGCTAACCATTCCCAAGATTTGGGAAAAGAAGAATGAGTGCTTGAAAGGGTGCAAAGGGTATTTTTTAAAAAAGTAAAACAAATGGATAGAATGTTTTACATCTCCTGAAGGAAGCAATCAGGAGACCATATGGGTGCTTTGAGTATTAAATTATCAAAGACGACTATCTCCAGCAATAAAAGGTGAACTAGTTAATGGGAATTCAACTCTATAAACTCCTCCTACTTCAATGAGTGAGAAACTAAAAACTTTTTATAGTATTTATTCATTCATTGGTTCACCAACCAGCAGAGCCTGCCCCATTCCAGACGTTGAGGTGGACTCGAGAGGTCATTTGTCCATTCTATATCATCCCATTTGCAAGCTACTCAGTAATAATTCATTTGTCCTTTCCACTAGATTTTTAGTTAGTCAGTTAATGAATACATTAAAAAAGGAAGAAAGACGGATGGGAGGAGAGAGATAGATGGTGGGAGACACAATTCCTTTCAAAGAGCACTAATCCAGTTTGCTCTGAAAGTCAAGGTGGTCTAGAATTTGGTAAAAAGGAGCCATGGTTTTCTCTTTCGTCTTTGTAGGCTAACTCCTCCACACTGAACCAACCCTAACCTTAATGAACCACAATTGTGGCTTAATGAACCACAATTGGCATGTGGAGCCCTGCCAGGATCACATTCACTCTAGAGCAGAATGTAAATACCCATTTAGCAGATTTGTTTTCCATGTGTGAACTACCTTTAAATATACTGAAAATCTGTTACAGTCAGGGAACAAATGAGGCAAGTCAAATAGGGCAAGAAAGGAAAAACAAATTTTATACAGAAAAGTAGAATTCATTTTTTTTAGGATGGCCTGGTTAAAAGTATTTATTATGATAACAGAGTCAGACTCTCATTAAGCTTTCACTTGGCCTCCCTGAAAAGGACATTAGTGGTAAATATTAAGACATCTGAAAGTACCAAGCATTTGGGGAGGACAGGGAACAACTAGAACTCTTACGTACGTCTGGTGGGAATGTAAAGTGGCACAATCCCATCGAAAACAATTTGATATTACCTAGCAAAGCTGAATGTGACCCAGAAATTCCACTCCTAGGTATATGCCCTAGCCTAGAGCAACCCTTGCACGTATGTGCCAGGAGACACGGACAAAAAATGTTCATACACAGTACTGCTTGAAACAGCAAAATCTGGAAACAACCCCAAAGCCCATCAACAGTCACACGGGGAGGTGAGTTGTGACCTAGTCACACAATGGAGTATTATAAAATGTGAAAATAAATGAAACACAGCTGCACACTGCAAAATGGATGCTATGTTCTTTTTAAGGGAAATTGTAGAAGACTACATACAATTAAAATAGCAGTTTCATGAAGCCTTCTAAAAAGAAAAACTAAATATTATTTAGATATACATATATGTGGAGAAACTATTTTCAGAAACAAGGCGATTCACACAATAATTCAGATTAGCATTGGCAGGGTGAGAGGACACAAGCAGACTGCGTAGGAGACGACCTCACGTTAGAGCCAATGGGACCAGAAATCCCAGGTTGAGAGGTAAATTTACAGATGATTGTTTCACTATTAGCTTCACAATTTATATAGATGGTATATATTCCATTGTACATACCAAAAATTTCATGTACAAATTTTTTAAAATTCTGACATGTTGTATGATGAAGTACTATACAGCCATTAAGATACATTGATTAGATCCATAGGTACTGATAGGAAAAGATCTCAAGACAAATTGTTTAGGTTAACAAAAATCAAGGCACAAAGAGACATATGAAAACATGCTCAAAGTCACTAATGATCCGAGAGACGCAAATCAAATCGACAATGAGGTACCATCTCACATCTGTCAGAATGGCTATCATCAACAAGTCAACAAATGACAAGTGCTGGCGAGGATGCCGAGAAAAAGGAACCCTTGTGCACTGCTGGTGGGAATGCAGACTGGTGCAGCCACTATGGAGAACAGTATGGAGTTTCCTCAAAAAACTAAAAATGAAACTCCCATTTGACCCAGTAATCCCACTTCTAGGAATATATCCCAAGAAACTAGAAACATCAATCAGAAAGGATATATGCACCCCTATGTTCATAGCAGCACAATTTACCATAGCTAAGATTTGGAAACAGCCTAAGTTCCCATCAGCAGATGAGTGGATTAGAAAACTGTTGTACATCTACACAATGGAATACTACACGGCTGTAAAAAGGAAGGAACTCCTACCATTTGCAACAGCATGGATGGTTCTGGAGAGCATTATGCTAAGCGACATAAGCCAGTCGGAGAAAGATAAATATCACATGATCTTACTCATTTGTGGAATATAATGAACAACATAAACTGATGAGCAAAACCATATCCAGAGACAGAGAAGCATCGATCAGACC